GTTTTCTAATTGCTTTCTCTGATCTGGAGTTAAATCAGACTCTGATAGATCAAACTGCAATTTTGAGTTGCCTTTTGAGCTATCTGAGTTTGCGGAAACAGTTTTGTGTGAAGGTGAGGAACTATTTGAGTCAAGGGAGATAATTGTAGCACTTTCATTATTTATGTCCTCTACATTAGCTAATACCTGATTAGATCTTATTCGAACATCATCGAATGTGGGATTAAGAACTTTCAGATATGCTTTTTCTGTTATTGACCTTCACTAAGCACTTAGCAGCCGTAATGTTATGCTTTCTTGAGAGAGATGATAGTGGTTCTAGAAGCACTTGGTCACCATTTTTACACCTAGAAATGTGTACAGAGACTGTCATTTCTGATCGCTTTGAGATGACAACGGTTTTGGTTGACCTGGCTAACCCTGCATTTGTTAATATTTGACACACCTGTTGATTGTTAATGGTTAGTGTGTTTTGGTTATAATCTATGTTAGCATGGTTAGTCATTAAAAAGTCGAGACCCAAAATGAACGAGTAATGGAGGTCTTGTATGACATGCACTGTTTGTTTGAAGTTAGCACCATCGATATCTAAAACAACATCTAACATCCCTAAAACTTCGAGGTAGTTACCTGTGACACCTTTGATGTTTTTGTGTTTTGGTTGTTTTAATTTAGCACCGCTATAAGAAGTTTTCTTTAAGAAATCAAAGCTAACCACTGTAATGCTTGCACCAGTATCTAATAAAGCTCTAACTTTTTCACCGCCGACAGACAAAAGCACTTTATTTTCTTTCAAAGAAGTTGCCAAACAAATTTCTTTGCCAATATGCCCATCCTGAGACTTGTGTCTTGGGACAGGCGCGCGTCCCTAGCGAGAGTTATTATGATTAAATCTATTTGCATTGGCTAGTAATCTCAGGAGACAAACTTTAATTGTATGACCACGTTGCTTATAATAATGACAACGACCATTAATACCAGGACAAGTAGACCTATCAAAACAGGAGTCACCTCCGCATTTTAAGCATTGGTTATGTTTTCTTCCATTATTCCTGGACTGCTGATGTTGTGGGGGTCTTCAGCTGTATACGGCATTCACAACTGAGTCTGTTTGTTTTGTTTGTAAGTCCTGCAGGGCTGTGGCCACTGCTGCTATAGACTCTTCAACTGAAACTGAAGGTGTGTCCTCTTTTGCACTAGTCACATTTGATCGTTTAGTGTCTACAGCATCTTCGGCAAGGATGGCTTGTTCTCGTAACTGCTCAAGGGTTTTCGGTTTCTGGGGCACAACAAGTTCCCTAAGGCGTTGTTGCATCCCATCCTTTGCTAGCTCGGTTACGGCTTCTTCATCCATGGTGGATCCGTGGCTAACTTTCGCACTCGGTATATGTATTCTTCTACACCTTCTCTGGTGTTAAGTTGTTCAATTTGTTTAGATTGTTCATCGATTTCTTTGGTTTTTTCTTTCACAGTGCCATTCAAGTGAGCTTTTCTGATCACATTTTGTCCTCTTCCAGTTTATCTGTTGTTGTTCTGTTTTTCACATTTGCGTTCTTTGGAGAACCACTGGGCCAATTTTGACCAAACTTGGTACAAAGTTTGTTTGAAGGGGAATTTAAATTGTTAAAATGAAGGGACATATGGCTTCGAAGGGGAGATAATGTAAAGACAAAAATAGGGTTGGGTCATTAAAAAATCTTCTTCTCAAGAACCACTGGGCCAGTAAAGCTGAAACTTATGTGAAAGCATCTTAGTTGGCCTAAGGTTCAAATCATGACCCTACTGGCTAGCAGGGGCCACAATGGGGAATCAAAGTTTTATATAGAAATATATAGGAAAAATCTTTGAAAATCTTCTTTTATTGAACCACTGGGTAGAAAAGTGTAACAAAAGCACCCTGCTTTAATAAACTAGATATGGCCCCCGAAGGCCCACAATGGGGTATCAAAGTTATATAGAAATATATAGGAAAAAAAAATCTTCTTTTGAAAATATAGAAATTTTTATATATTAAAATCAACTTTTAAAAATAATTTATGAATGATAAAGTTTTATATAGAAATATATAGGAAAAATCTTTTATATATTTATTTAATGGGCAGAAAAGCTAAACTTATGTAAGCATCTTGAAATGTACAAGTTTTCCTCATGACAGGTTGGAGAGAGGCCACAATGGGGAATGAAGTTTTACATTTTATATATTGAAAAATCTTTGAAAATCTTCTTCTCAAGAATTACTGGGCCAGAAAAAAAAAACTTATGTGGAAGCACCCTGCAGAGTGTAAATTCAATTAGCAATGGTGTCTCGTCCTGGTGTTATGGCGGGAATCAAAGTTTTACATAGAAATATGTATTGGAAAAATCGTGAAAATCTTCTTCTGGATATTAAGCAGAGTAAACTAAGTATATATTATTGTTATTATGAATAAAATTCCTTTGCAAAATTTGTTGCCCCATGATTAGGGTTTACGGGGAGGGGGAATCAAAGTTTTACATAGAAATATATATTGGAAAAATCGTGAAAATCTTCTTCTCAAGGTAACTGGGCAGTATATCAAACTATTGGAAGCATCCCTGGACATATATAGTAGATTCAAACACAATAATGACAATTGTAATAAGCAAATGTATTCTTTAAATATATAAAAAATCTTTGAAATTCTTGAACAACCACTGGGCCAGTAAAACAGAAACTTATGAAAGCACCCTGGGGTAGTGTAGATTCTAAATTGTTCAAATCATTATCGGTAATAATCGGCTGGGCATAATCGATTAATTTTAATCGAAATATATAGGAAAAATCTTTGAACTTTAATAAAATTAATATAGAAAAGTTGAAACTTATGTGGAAGATTTATAATGTAGACTTTGTTCAAAAAAAAACATTTACTTTTATATAAAATATATAGGAAAAATGTTAATTGAAATTTCTTTCATAAAAAGTGGGCCAAAAAAGTAATATATATATGTTCTACTAGTGTAAATTCAATTATAGGAATATACCCCAGGGGGAAGGCTATTATAAACAGAATAGGAATATATATCTTTTTTTTTCATAAAGTCATTGCCCATGGAATTTTATGGGTTAGTGTAGATTTCAAAATTCATTTAATACATGTATATTTTTCTGTAAAATTAGTTTTAAATTAGTTAAAAATAATAAAATTGCAAGTTCTAAAAGTAATTATCCAGAAGTTAGACTTGTATTTATGATAATAATTACGTTTAAAGATTGACTAGACTAATTATGTTTTCCTTTGTATAGTTATACCTTGCAATATTTGTTTATGGGGATTATTTTCCCCATATTTAATCAGGTGATGTAAACCGTATCTTTCTTTTTCTGCACCAGTGATATCTCCCTTTCTCTTATTTGGCATCACTACTTTTATGCTCTGGCTAGCACTTGATTTGGGGAAATAAAATTAAAGAAAACAATTTTATTTTTTGTTAGCGATGTCGTGCGGTTTTATTGCATATAGAAAAGTGTACAAAACAAAGCTTTAATAAACTAGATATGGCTGAAGGCCCTTACAAACAATGTCCCTAACCAACGTTATATAATCAAGATAAGAAAAAAAAACTTATTTTGAAAATATAGAAATTTTTATATATTAAAATCAACTTTTAAAAATAATTTATGAATGTTAAATTATAAATATCTTATTTTATTTTTTTTTTATATATTTATTTAATCAGAATAATTCTTAATGTAATTTGAAAACAAGTTTTCCTCATGACAGGTTGGAGAGAGTATAGAGTGAAGTACATTTTTTCATTGAGAATGTTCTCTTGGGAATATATATTCTCTATATAAGAGTTAAAAGTTTGTCCTGGTGTTATGGCGGGGCTCTATTGATTGTAGAGTGAAAGTGCATTCCTGGATATTAAGCAGAGTAAACTAAGTATATATTATTGTTATTATGAATAAAATTCCTTTGCAAAATTTGTTGCCCCATGATTAGGGTTTAAAAATAAAGTTTTTGTACTGAATTATTTAAAAATTTAAAAAAAACTCAGTATATCAATATTACTCAGTCCCTGGACATATATAGTAGGCAAACACAATAGAGAATTGTAATAAGCAAATGTATTCTTTAAAAAAAAATAATGAAATTCTTGAACAACAGCCTAAAACAGAAAGAAAGCAGACATGTATGTGGACAACCGTATTGCATTGCATTGCAAATCGTATTGCACTATAGTTTGGTAACTAGCTGCCCACAGTAATCAAAATAATCTTGATTAGTTCTTAAAAATGAATTTATTTCAAGATCTGAATGAGACATTTTGAAATACAATGGTAAATGCCAAATGGAATACTTCGCCGTTCGATATATATTCTCTATATAAATTAAAAGTTTGTCCTCATAAAAAGAATCTGGAATTGTCAGAGTATAACTTGAAAAATAACGCCAGAAGACTCACATTCATTTCGTGATAAATGAGCATATCTTGCTTTCTAACTCGTGCAGTGGTGTAAAAATAAAGTTTTTGAGAATTAAATTTAAAAATTAAAAAAAAAAAGTCTTTGGAGTACATGTATCCAGCTTGAACCACTTCCAAATTCTACAACTGGTGATGATTGGTGTTTTTATCCTCTAGGAATGTCGTGTCTATTAGTTTAATTATTTTCAGATTATTTTACTTTTTTTTTGTACCATAGTTAGATGTAATTTATTTGGTTAAAAGTGTGTGTTGTCAGTAACAAACAGTATCACTATGTTTGGTAACTACTACCTTCATATTATATATATGTTGGATATTAGAATTGTTTTTATTGTTTTATGAAAATAAAATTGATTTTCGATTTCTGAAAGTAATCTATTGATTGATTCACTGATTGATTAATTAATCTATTGATTGTTTATTTATTCATTTATTTTTTATAGATTATTTAAGAAACCATAGGCAATATATATACTTCATGGATAGTCGACCGATTGAACAATCCGAATCATTTAAGTGCGAGTTAATTTGAATTTTAAAATGGCGCGATATATAAACAGCTCAAGAAGAACTAAAGAAAATATCCTGTGTTGATACTTATCTAAAAGTCAGAATGACGTGAATATTTCATAAAAAGGATAACGAATAAATATGAGGAGGTCGTCTGCCCCAAGTCAAGGACCTCAGGCCAAGAGACCTAGATTTAATGTTCCTTTTAAAAGCTCTTGTCAAATACAAAACACGGTAGGCCCTGGTTTATCAACTCACCGAAATTTAATATTTCTTTGATAGAATAGTAAATAGTTCCTGTAGTTTTCATGGGCTTTAGTTAAAAAATTATGTATAAAAATTCATATGGCCACTAGATTCTTCAAACACACAGAACACTTGTTTTTGTACAATGGTATTACATTTTGAAGCTTTTTAAAATGAATGTTTTATTATATAATAAAATATAATTTGTTTACTTTAAGATTGCTTAAAATTTCAGGTAGAAAAGCCACCAGCAGCATCAGAATTACAAAACAGGTATCGTATATAATCAAATTCACATATATTACAAGACTCTAGAAAGGAGAAAAATACAAGCAGACAAGACCAGGATTCGACCCGGGGCCCCCAAATCTGTTATTTTGTTAAAGGTCATTTTGTCCCCTGAAAACATCAACCCAGGCTCTTCCCTGCAGGTCTTACACCTATCACTTCCGAAGCATAGCATGGCACCAAATGTATACATGTAACAAGGAGAAGAAAAATGCAGCAGACCAAACTAGGATTCAAACTAGAGTCCTTTGAATCTCCAATCTGGCTCTGCCAATTGAGCTGTTTGGACACCAGTGATTAAACCCGTCCACAGGGGTTTGCTCCCTGCTTGTAATGATATTTGACCCATCTGAATGCCACATACCAAATTTGATTATTTTTAATAATTTTACTGTTGGGGGAGAGTGCACCTTTGTATTTTAACTATTTATAAAAACCAATATAAACAGGTGACACAAAAATTGTTCTACATATCCTCAGTTCATCAAACATGTTAAATAAAGAAAGAAAATAAGTAGAAAACACATCAATAAAAAGAATCACCTCCAATGCATCAGGATCGAGATTATGAACTTCTCGGAAGCTTCTGACAAATGGGAAATTCCCAAGCCATTTGAGTGACGAAAGTATGGCATCAAATAAAAAGCCCTGTTGACTTAAGACGCAAACGATAGTTTGTGGTATAGAGATTGCATAAAATCGTTGTTTGTAAGTTTTTTAAAGTAGGTTGTTGCTATGTATCAGCCACCATGTTGCTATGCACCGCAAAGGATTATTGGGATTTTGTAATTTTTTCATGTGGACTTATCAAAATTTCTTGGAATAATGTGCAGATTTCAGCCTGAATTTCCTCTTTTCATACACGTTAGTCATTTGAGCTTGCTGCATTTGCAATTATCATATGCATATTCACTTTGGAAGTAAAGAGGGAATGACTTAAAGGTCAAAGGGCATATTTCTTGTACTATATAAAATTTTTCCAAACAATTTGTTATTGAAGTTATTTTACTTTAAAACGGTTTTAAAAAAGTTGTTACAATTTGATCCTGATTGTTTAAATATTTATATTGAATTGTCAATATTACAAATCTTGGTGTAATTCCTTTTGAAAACAGTTTAAAAATCACAGGATACTTTGAATATTTTTCTTCAAACAATAAAAAGATACAAAACATATTTTTGAGGAACTTTTATTGGTATTAAAAAAAACAAACATATGATTTAAAGTTTTAAGAATACAATTTCTTCTGTGTATAAATAACTTGTTTCTGGTGATGTTGTTAATCTCTGATATACCAGTAATGATAATCTGTTATTAAAACCCAGCAGAATAAACATTTCTTTGGATATTATTATGTATATTTCATAAATTTATATCATACACTCATTGAAAAGGAATCTAATTTTAAATTCAGGGACAGGGTTTTGACATCAAGAATCAGTGAGAACACAATTTCTTCTAATGAAAGACTTCAAAACAATGAGAAAGTTCAGTCGGTATATAAGACAAACACTGCCTCTCCCGCTGTTCAGACAACATCAGGTAATGTGTTAATTAATGATTTGTTCCATATCGTATCAAACCAAATTGTGTGCATATATATTGAATTTTGTGATTTTTTTTCCAGAGAATGCTCCCATTCCTTGTAGATACTTTGCAGTCATGTGGTGTAAACTTTCAAAGAAAAAGGTATGGTTAAGGGATTTATTTTAAATCCTAATGTACTTTTTGCAATAAACTTTGACTTCATTTTAATTTTTTTTGTTTCATTTGTGATTTTCCTTCCATTCCATCCCACTTTACAATTTTGATTACAGTTTTGCAATGAAATACAACCGTATAACAGCAATATTATTGTGTGGCATGATTGACAACATTTCTGACATCTTAAATTTTGTATTTTACTCTAGAAATCCTAAGTTTAGGCATTATTGCGGGTAAAGGGGTTCTGAAAAAAGTATCAAAATGTGACATTTTTTGTTGACAATGTGCCATAATATAATAAATATTATTGTACAGTCCTACACCATTGTTTATGAATAAGGTAACCAATTATTAATCATGTTGATGCTTACAAAAGAATCATAATATATGTAATACATAATAATTATTGTAAGTTTTTTTTTCAGCATAAAAAGTGGGAAGGTGATGGTATGTATGCACATTTGAAAATACTGCATGTTAAAATAGTAATTTTAAACAGATGAATTTGGTAGAAGAAAATTTTGTTTTCTCTTATTATACCCCTGGCTTGAAAAGTGGGAGGGTATATAGTAATTGGTATGTCCAGCTGTACGTCTGTCTGTCCTTCTGTTATGCTTTGGAGTACCCATATCTTATCCACAACTCCTTCCATACCATTGAATGAAATTTGATGAAACTTTCACAGAATCTTTATTACATATTGCCATTGGGCACCTCCTATTTTACTCTTTGATCCAGCCGACACATATTTTGGGTTTCCCACTGCAAAACATGGACACTGCAATTATATTCATGTGGGAGGCGGGGGTATCATTTAGTGAGCTCATTGCTCACAGTACCTCTAGTTTTACTTTATATTTTTAATTCATGTAATTTAAATTAAAACCATTTCAGCTGTATTAGTAACCCAGGGAAGAAGTGTCACATTGTACGACATTGAAGGCAAAGTGTAAGTTATCATATTGTTAGAATGACTTTTTAAAAAGGATAAAAAGAGCCATGCAATTGCATCCATGAAGTTTGTCACTAGTACAGGCTTTTTATTTTTGAATTCACAGGATAGGCAAAGCAACAGGGTACAAATGTGCTGAATTAGAGGCACTAAAAGAGGATGAAACTCTTATGATAGGTGGCAAGGAAATTCAGGTATACTTGTGTGTAATACATGTAGTTATACAGCAAAATTCGATTATAATTAAGTCACTGGGACTTATGAAATTACTTCACTATACCTGTAATTCATTATATCAGTATAGGGAATAAGTTAAATTTATATAGCTGGGGATCAGAAATAACTTCGCTATATCCATGAATTCACAATATCTGTGATCGTACTAAAAGAGTTTTACTGTATTATTATATCCCCTGCAAATGAAGTTTTGGGGCATTTAGTGTATTATTATATCCCCTGCAAATGAAGTTTTGGGGCATTTAATAATCACCTTTTCCATATATCTGTCTTAATAATTCTATCTGTCCATGTAATCTTTTCAAGACTTTGAAACTTTGTAATGGATAATTATTGGAATCTCATACTTTGTACATATTGTTTATGGCATAAAATTTTGTCTTATTCTTATTCAATATCATTCTAGTAAGTTTTAAACCTTCTTAAAATTTTTGCCTTTTCAGTTGTTGAAATTATGTTATTACATGTAATAATGTTACAAGAGAAAATTGATATGAGAAGAAGTGTTTTCAATTCCATAATCATGATACAAACAGTGTTATATGTGCATAATTAACACACATGTAATTCTAGGTGATGTCAGTAATGACAGAAGAGCAGTTTAAATCTGGAAAGTGTTTCTCCTCTTTGACAGAAGCTTCTCAGGTCCCCAGCATGCCGGATAGACCAGGAGGTGAGTCGGTATCATTCTTCACATTACCAATTGAGTTCATCTATATTGTTAGAAATCAAGTGTTTTGATTCAGACTGAATCAGTGGTTGTTTAATCAAATATTTTTTTTTTAGTCTCAGCTGTAGAGAAGACATTTGTCAATCCACTGAAGGGAGGGAAGCCAACAGTAAGTAGAGCATTGTACCTGTTTAACATGGAGGTAAATTTTAAACTGTAGACTTTACTCAATATTTGTTTTAGTTTTAATTCAATGTAAATTTAATATTTTGCTTTTATAAAGACAACTGTTTCATTCTCCACCACCCCTCGACATGACCCAACAGCACCCAAAGCTCTTGTCTTGCCAAGACCCAGTGCATCTCACCAGGTAATTCTTCCAATGTTAGATACTTATATATAAAAAGATTTTTTGTGACTGGATAGATACAAAATTACTGGACATACCACTTTACAATGTGTTCATGCATGACTGATCTTAACACAAGTTCTTGATTTTTTTTCTGTTTGTTTTAGTGGCAGTACAACAAGAAGAACTTTCCCGTTGTGGATGTTGTCGTGGATCCTTATCTCTCTGTCCACCTTAGACCTCACCAAAGAGAGGGAGTCACTTTCCTGTACGACTGTGTGATGGGCTTTAGAAACATTTCAGGAAAGGGTGCTATCTTGGCGTTAGTATTTAATAAAGGTTTTATTATAAAACCTTCTCTTTTATAATGAATTTATATTTACAATAAATACTGATTTTACATTTATATAGAATAAAATTTTATATGATATGGGGCAAAAACATTACAATGCATTTCTTTGTTATGGTAGCCTAAACAATATATAGAGTTTATATACAGGGGTATTTAAATGAAATTATGATTTTACAGTGATGATATGGGGCTGGGAAAAACACTGCAATGTATTTCTTTGTTGTCAAAGTAAGCATTTTCAAGAGAGGTAACAGCATATTAACTTTATTACATTTTTTACCTCATCAAAGTATTTAATTTGTCTTGTTTTGAACGTCAAAAATATAATTATTATATTTTAAGAATGGAAGAATATTTTAATGTTTTAACATATTTTATGCAACATGAGTTACACTGAAATGAAGATTTTTAAATAAGAAAGAGCTATATATAGGCCCTTATGTAAAACAATTTCAACGGATTTGTACATAATTATGATTTTATTATGTTAATTGGAGTCATAACACATGTATTGAAGTTTATTGGTGTTTATGTAAGCATTTTCAGGAGAAGTAACCTGGAATTTTCAACTTGTGTATTCAACAACATATACATGTACATGACAATATACAAAGCAGAGCACCAATTTGGCTTTACATTTTTCTCTTTAGAACTGGTTTCAAGAGATAAAGAAATGGTTAGGCACAGAGAGGTTAAAAGCATTTGCTGTTAGTTCAGACAATAAGATTGAAGTAAGATGTGTGTATTTCTCTTTGATACATGTGCATATAGTGAAAATTTGTGAGCTAGATAAAAAAGTTATTTTTATCAGTGTAGCAAAAAAAAAAAAATTAAATGCATGTATGTTATCATTTATTTTCAGGAGTTTATGAATACTTCCATATATCCCATTGTGATAATTTCCTATGAAATGTTTGTACGAGTTTATGAGAAACTACAGTCCTTGCAGTTTGACATCATTGTCTGTGACGAAGGTCATAGACTGAAAAACAGCAATATCAAAACAACATCTGTAAGTACTCAGGCTGTCTAAATGCATTTTTATTGCATATTTTCTGAATTTCTTTCCACCCCTTACTTATTTTGGGAAGGGTGATATTCTAGAATCAATGTGTGTACTGTATAACTGTAAACTTGAGCTCAGCTTTTGGATCAATTTTATCTTTTCTTTTGGAATATCCAAACTTAATTTTTTTCAGATTTAATCTTTGCACCTGTCCTTCAGTGCATGCTACATTTACTCATGTGAAGTGCAAATTAAAGTGCAGCATTATATTTCATAATCAAACAGCTTACCCATTGCTACAGCAAACAAGTTATTGATTGTGATATTAGTTGACTAGTCCACTACTTGCAAGAAGTTTGTATTGAGGTTTTATATTTTCATATATCCTTACTGCTAAATTGTACCCTTGTCATTCTTCATTTTTAGTTAATTGCAAGTTTGCCAACACAAAGAAGAGTAGTTTTGTCGGGCACTCCAATTCAAAATGATCTACAAGAATTTTACTCTATTGTGGAATTCTGTAATCCAGGATTGTTGGGTAAGTAGATGTTTAAACTGATCATTTAATACATTTGATTCAATTTTCTACATCTTATGTACTTTTTAATTTGCATTTTTAGTAGTTTTGAAAATTCATTGAAAAAATGATACAGCAATTTTTTTTATTATTAAGGTACCTCTGCATCTTTCAAAAGAGTGTTTGAGACCCCCATTGTGGCCTCCCGGCAGCCAGGTGCCTCCCCGGAGGAGCTGGAATTGGGGGCTGAGAGGGGCAGCGAACTCAGTCATATAACTAAACTGTTTGTCCTTAGACGCACCCAGGAAATCAACACAAAATACCTTCCTCCAAAATGTAAGGATTTTTCATGGATAAATAGAATAAATACTGTATTTCATACTTTCAAATTAGGTAACAAAAGATTCTCTAAACTGAATCTTTTTTTCTTTTACCGACAGGTGAGATAGTTCTTTTCTGCAAGCCCACTGACCTGCAGCTGAGGTTGTACTGCCAGATGCTGCAGGGGAAGTTGTTTCGATCCTGCCTCGGGAGTGACGGAGCCACACATCTCATCTGTATTGGGGCTCTAAAGAAGCTCTGTAATCACCCTAGTCTGATCTTCACCAAAGCCTGCCAAGCTGATGAATGCCCAGAGGACCTAGAGGAGGTGAGAGGCTTTTCTGCTGATGCAAAGGAAAAATTAATCTTTTTCTGACTTTAGTGAAGGGGCCTGACATCTGAAGCTAATTTGAATTGTGCAAGTCTTTTAAAATGAAACACTTGCATATTGTCAAGCAATTCAGGTAATTAAAGAAATTTTATCACTACACTATAAAATATGATGAAGACAATTGCAAGGTGCAGCAATATTATCCATATTTGGGTAGACCCAGTTCATGGTTTAGTAATTTTTTTTTATCAGTAAATGAATAAAAAATACTGTCCTGTCAAAGGCTATTGACTTGCTTTTTCTTTTTTTCCCCCTATAAATATGTAGGACTACAAAGTGCGATAATGTGTACTCCAAAGTTGATGGTCACAATGAAAGTTAATTTTTAAAAGCCCGATGGTTTGAAATATTTAAAGTCCGATGGTGCGGAAAACAATTAACGTGTATGACGTCATTTGCAATATTGCGCAAAAATGCGATGTGTACCATGCCAAGGCCCGATTGTTTTGAAATAAATACTAAAAATTATAAAATGCAAAGACTAACCCTAATTTTTTGGATTTAGGTGGGAGACTAACACTTATTAATTTTAACAACCATAAGCCATAGGTATTTTTAATTTGCATGACTAATCCAAGTCATTCCAATAGTGTGCGAGGACTGAAAAAAACCCCTTTTTTTTTCGAAGAAACACATTGGTGTTCAAGAACTAACCCAATCAGTCGAGAGAGTGTACAAGGACTAACCCTTATAGCTCTGGTGGGCAAAAACAATAAGCAAAATCAGTAAAATTGCCTCCCGGGAGGAGCAAAATCATTTAAGGAATGTTTTTTAGTTTTGTGTGAGTTATTGGTGTGTGAATCACACAAACTTGCCAGGTAGGCATATTTCATGAAGCGCGCTAACTCACACGAAACTAAAAAAACATTCCTTATATTTACATTTAATCTGTTTGGAGGCAACTAAAATATACTTAATATTTGAATTTCTCGATGCCTTATATTGTTGCATTTTACTAATGTCGCTGCAGTCTCATTGTGACGTCACGTTAACGCATGTTTCTCCGTGTATATTTCTACGCGTGAGTGTACACGAAAATGTTTTTCAAATCAATTTCACAGTAAGCTTACTAGAAAAACACAGCGAATGTAAATATTGGATTTTGATTGCAGGACAACGTCATGACGTCGGACTATTGTGACGTCATAAGCGTTGATTGTTCCTCCGCACCATCGGACTTTGGCGTGTCAGACCATCGCACTTTAGCGTCGCGCATCTCATAGGAAACGAGCCATCGGACTTTCGCGTGTCCATCGGACTTTGGCGTCCGTAAAGACAGCAAGCAAACGGGCTTTGGCGCAGACCATCGGGGTTTGGCGAGACCATCGGACTTTGGCGTCACCATCGGACTTTGGAGTCTTACAAATATATTGTAGCTTTTAATGGGATCATGTTTGGCGACAATTTATGTTCTTCCCAGGGATCAGTTTACAGTGGACTGTCCTCTCTCTTTCCTCCTGGCTACCAAGAAGATGATTGTTCAGCAGAACATGCAGGGAAACTTAAAGTTTTGTCTGAAATTCTGAAGCAAGTACACATGAACTCAGAAAAGATAGTGGTAGTCTCCAATCACACCAAGGTAAATTGATTTTGCTCTTGTTTATCCAGCATATCAAATTTGTTTGATAAATGACTATTGAGTTTCGACTATGCTCTGATACAGTCTGAAGAACCTGTAGTAATTAGTATGTTGATAGTGCTACCATTTGCATGAGCACAGTTGAGTATTTAAATGTATTTAATACTGAATAACTTACAAGCACTGTGTTGAACTTAAATATGCTATTAAAAGACACCTTTTTTAGGATGCCACAGGTCATCAAATGTTAATTGCAACCTAATGAGGCCAGATACATGTACATGTATTACTATAAAAAGGATATTTGGATCAATGTACACAGGTCAATTCTTTCTTTGCCCAGGCATTGTAGAAAGAGCTTGCAGTGCAAACACCACTTTACACTGCTCTTTGCTTTAGCTTTTTTTAAAAGGAAAATTTATACAATTTGTAAAATTGTACTTCAAGGTAAGAGTAAGACATGATAAAAATTGCATCATTTTGTTTTTAATATTTTTATTTAGACATTAGACATCCTTCAAAACTTTTGTGGCAAATGTGGATATGGTTTTTTACGACTGGATGGTCAAACACCCACAAACATTCGACAGGAAATTGTCACCAAGTTCAACAGCAAGCATTGTACTGAAAGTAATTATGCTAAAATAGTTCATTTGGTTGTCATTTTACTGGACTTATCAATTTTTGAGTTGCTTTAATTGCAATTGTTATTTCACTACACAGAGGTATTTCTATTAAGTTCCAAAGCTGGAGGAGTTGGTCTGAACCTTATAGGAGCATCACGTCTCCTTTTGTATGACATTGATTGGAACCCTGCTAATGATCTGCAGGTAATTTTTTCTCAATTAGTTTTAGGTAATATTTAAAATATGCCCCTATATGCAAAATAATTTCTGCACCAAAGAAACACGCAATTGAAATGTTTTTGAAATGTTCACTAAAAATACCAAGTTTTCCATGGAAAAGTAAAGTACAAGTATTTATTTCAGTTTTAATTCCATATATGTAAAAATACAGTTGAACTTCGATATCTCGAACACTGATATCTCAAATACCATGGGTACTAGTATGTCAAAGTGATTTTGAATAGTAAACAATGCTTGTCTCCCCTCTTTCTAGGCAATGGCAAGAGTGTGGAGAGATGGACAGAAAAGACAGATTTACATCTACAGACTTCTTACAACTGTAAGTTAATGTTAGTTCCATGAAAATAATTTTTAAAATGTCCTGGTTTGTATGACTTACAAGGGGTCATCAAAAAGTTTGCGATCTATTTCTATATTTACAAAACCACGATTCAGATCAGAATGAAATTTGGCACACCTATAGTCATGTACATGGTCTATAGATAGCATATGAAATGTAATGATTTTCTCCATCATTGTGATGTGACATCTATATGTAGGTGACTCCTGACGAAAAATGGTTGTCAAAGTCTTACCCAAGAAATGAACGGCTGTAAAGTTTAATGTATAACTTGGAAATTCCTTTGAAGTATCTTCTAATAATTTGTACAAGGTTGATGATGACAATGGACTTTCCAGACGTTTAATCATAAATTGGATTAATTGTTTTAGTGAAGGGAGGGAGATGGTTAAAAATGATGTTTGTTTTGTAACCCAGCGAAAGCAATTGAAGAGATGTGTCCTTTTTTCCCCAGAATCCTTGAAAGGGAAGATAATTAATAGATAATCCAGGGAACAAATTTTTCTAAGGAGAATGGGGGAATCTTACAAATGTTTTTGAAAAACAATAAGGTATTTATTTAGTTTATCCAAGTATGAAGGTTTAGACTTGCTATCTGAGAAAAACTTACCGGGGTACTTCTAATTCTTAAGCTATTTTCATCATTTTACAGGGGACAATAGAAGAAAAGATTTATCAACGTCAGATCAGTAAGCAGGGTCTTAGTGGAGCTGTCATGGATCTCAAAAACAAGAGGGAGGCTCAGTTCTCCCTACAGGAACTTAGAGTAAGAAAGTATATGTTCTTGTTCATGCCGCATTATCAGTCATATGATAATATGACAGAGTACATTGCCATCTTTGCATTACTGAATACTCATTTAATACACTTATATCACATAAGATTTAATTTTTTCTAGGGATGTCAACGAATATTCGAGTACTCGACTACCGTTCGATAATACCGACTATCGACTAAAATTTCTTTAGTCAGTTATTTGTTAAAATGTGTTTCATCAAAGTAATTTTGAATTCAAGGCAATCAACTTAGATTTGCCCATTCCATTTATTTCAAGATCAATATTTTCATATGTAAAATTAGGGGTATGTTATAACTGTTCAAAGGAAATTATTTGTACATCGATGTATGTTCGGCTAGCATGTTTTCAAAATCTGCAGTTTTGGTATACATGTTTTAGTTAAAAAAAAAAAGAAACAGTGTTACCAAGGTTATGTGAAACGGATCTTGTATTCTGCAGTGTAATATCAAACATACACATAGTCTTCAAGGGAAACTGTCCTAAAGTACGTTATCTGCAAAAATTCCAAAAAAAAAAAAAAAAAAAAAAGAACGGGAAAGAAAATTAAACATGTTTATTAATGATTGTCTACCTCTTACTGTTTTAAATGGAAAGGGTCATTGTTTAGTTTTGTAGATTCAAACTAAGATCTGATGTGATACAAATATTCAGAAGGAATATTTAATTAAACAGCTATTACAAAATTGATACATGGAAATTGGGGTCAGTTATAAAAGAAATTAAACCGTGTTTTCTTTTTCTGGTATTAATTTTATACAATCGTTGATTGTTTGCACAAAATTTCATAATCAAAATTTATCCCATGCTCTCGCCCTCTCTTTGTTTTATCCCATGCTCTCGCCCTCTCTTTGTTTTTATAAGATACACGATTGTTTACCAATTAAAGATCATTGACAGACGTGTAGAAATGGCTTTAATTATGGAGTTCATGTAAAGAAAGGAAAAATACGAGTATTTGATATCCAGCATTTAGATAAAATGTGCAGCTAATAAATTAATTTTGAAATTGAATACATAGGATACCTATTGATGTACAGTTTTTATTGTACTACGTTTTATTGTACTAGATGCATGTTTACAATTTAGAAATTCGTTGTATAATAGTGATAGCGTAGGTTAAATAGTGTAATCTGGTCTGTTAAAAAACAGTGAAAATTGATATGAAAAATAATTTAAATAAAACGAATATCCAACTATCGTTCGACTAAAGCATCCGACTATTCGACTAAGCTGTCCGACTAAAATTGACATCCCTAATTTTTTCCCCTAGGATTTGTTTTCTTTAAATGAAAACACTCTAAGTGACACCCATGACCTTCTGAGATGTGAATGTGGAGGACAAAAAGAAACAACTGCTGAATCTGTCCCTGTGCAAAGCTCCAGATCGTGTCAGCTAGGGGTTCCTCCTGTACTGGTATGTCTAATCTGAATATATTGAATATACATGTATCTGCAGGGTTGTCCCCAAGCATATAAATACATGTAAATACATCTCCACCCCAGGAGAATACAAAAATAAGCAGGGGATTACATCATTATAAGTGTGAAATTCCCTGTATGATCTATAAGTAATGGTGCTCACAGAACTTTATACCTTAAGCAAAAGGGTAACTCGTTCATATTTTGTAGAAAAACAAGACACTGGGTATGGAAGAACTAATGGATTGGAAACATATATCTGGGGATGTGCTTAAGAAAAATACAGTAAGTAAACATCCACAATTAGTTTACTCTGCATCATATAATTTTCACGACCTTATTTTTGCAAGATTATTGTTCGGTATTATAAGCAAATCTCTCAACAATCTTAATAATAGAATTAAAGGCTAGGATGAAAATTCTGTAGGCAGATTGTCTTGTGTAATTATGCGAAAATAAAGTTCTTGCAAAAAAAATGTATTTTTGGTAGTGTTTTCCCTCATTATCATTTAGTGATTTACAGAACTCAAACAACAAAACTTTTAATTCACAGGACTGGTTACTTGGAGATGCACCCTCCTCCGTTTCCTTCAGTTTCTGGCATAAAATCAACTCTGATAAATCTACAATGTGACTGAATTGATCTCACATGCAAAAGGACAATTAAGAACTAATACACATAAACACTTCATGTATTAAGATATGTGTAATTTTAATTCACAGTTTAATTAAAGCGTAAAACAAATTAATATTGTGATGATTTTTATTGATAATGTTGGTCAATGTCATAAGGATTTGAGTGTATTGGATGATTTGAAAATACAAGTACATGTAAAACATTGTACTCAAGAATTTATGGTACTGTACAAATATTGAGATAAAAAATAAACAAGAACACACAAAGTCATGCTCAATTCAGCACCATTCTTCTTGATCAGAAGGCATGTTTTTAATGAGACCCTGAATTCTACCTAAGATAATTTCATTTGTACTTCGACAATTTTCTGCTTCATAAGGCGGCTCAATAAACAGTGCATCAGAAATAGACAAACGTTCTCCATTATTTCCGTTTACTTGCACAGGTAAACGATTCTTCAAAAGCCAACTTTTTAATGTATTTTTCTTTTTCTCCAGTTCTTCCTCCGAAAGAGACTGAACTTCCGGAGGTCTAAACAGGGCTTCGATTCTTTTCTTGTAGGTTTCAGAGTTCTCGTCCAGAATAGAAACTTGTCTGACACTGGGTCCCATTATAATGTCCAGCTGGGTTTTGTCGTCCATAAAAGACAGCAGAACAAAGCTCTCTGATACAGGGTCAATTGTGTACACCCACCCTGTAACCTCTTTACCATCTTCTTTTAAAACACTGACTTGTTTGTTGAGGTACTGCATTAATTCTTCTGGATCACGTTTAAAAATAGGATGCACTGTTCCATTTACTTCATCTGCCATATTTTCAATAGAGTGTGAAATAGCTATGTTTTGTATAAAGTCAATTTTTAACGATTCAGGTCAAATTGGTCAGAATTCTTGTATTTTTCAAGTAAAGCTGTCTTGATTGTAAGTTGATTTCTAAGAACATCTATTTGTTTAAGTTGCTCTGTTTTGCTGCACTGAATTCCTGGCATTTTATCCACAAATTCTCTAGCCTTTTCCAGCTTTATTTTCAGTTCTGTCATCTTTTGGTTGACAACATCATGAGATTCTTTGTCAATGCTGAAAAAAAGATGCACAAATTTAAGAAAGAAAAAACCAAAATTTGAAGTGTTTATAATTAACATTCAAGAGTTATGGTCAAGATTAATGTGTTCTAAAAATGAGTCAAACTTTAAGGTCAAAATTAATGGTAGGCAAGGGAAGATGTCATACAAAATATACACCAACTGTTCAAATGTTATGAAGAAGGTTTAAGTTTTTTAAAAGTACGTCAAGGTCAAATGGTCAGCATTATTAATATCCAAAAGAAAGTCTTGTCACAAAGAATTAAAGGGTTTATTTTAAAGAAAAAATGGGTCAAACTCTAGTGTAAAGTCAAAAGGTCAGAATATTTTTGTTGGTGTCTTTGCCTCGAAAACAACGAAAATGCACATGGGAAAGCTGAAAGCACCAACCGTGCAAAAGTTGTGGCCAAGGTGAAAGTTGGATAAATTGCAAAAATGGGTCAAAGGTCAAGGTCATATATGTTGGTCTTGTCACGTGGAATGGCCAGGAATGCACATGAGAAATATGAAAGCCATAGCTCCAACTGATCAAAGTAATGAAATAAATGGACATTGTTAAAGTTTATACGGAGAGACTGCTAGACGGACAGGGCAAAAACTCGAATCTCAAAGAAAGAATTTCAAACAAAAACAACATTGAACCGTTGAAAAACCATCATTTTGTTGGCATGGCTTTATCATAATTTCTCTGTGTCCAAAATAATTCTTTTATCAATATAAAGAGGATTGTTTCGTTTATACTAATATGTCATTTTTATAAAAATACCTTTTTAATACATCTCCAATTTGTTGAAGGAAAGAGAGTTCGTTTTCTCCCGCATCCGCCATGGACCTAACAGGTGCCCTTAGTTTCGTATTAAGGTCAATAATAAATTATTATTATCATTATTAGGAAAGAATTAAATATTTAATGTTGAAAAAAATGTTTATTAATAGTGACAAATTAGTAAATTTAGAAAAATGTGTTTTTTCAGTAAAATATTAAATTCTAAAAACTACGAAACCATCATAATGAATTACATGTCATGTGACATTCAAAATGGCTACCTACGAATGGTATTTGAATTTTTTGATAATATCTTTTATAATTATCTCACCAATCGTCTACTATAGATATTTAGCATCTATGTCAGTTTAAGATATAACAGTTTGTGTACTCAAAAAGGAAGTGAAGCGTGATAAGGTCCTTGTGTATGCTAAACAGCCGCAATTGATTGATACGCCCACTTCCAAGTTTTACAAATGTCTTATGAGATCCATGAATC